GCTTCGATTCCACGATGACTGACCAAGAATCCGAGTAGTTGTCCTAAAGGAACTCCGAATACACACTTGCTTGGGTTCAATTTCCACCTCCACCTTTTTAGGTTTTTGAAGGTTTGCTTTAAGTCTTCAATAAGTGTGTCCGGGTTCTTTGTTTTCACTACTATGTCATCCACGTATGCCTCCACGTTCTCGCCGATCTGTTCACCAAGGCACGTCTGGATAGCTCTTTGGTAAGTGGCACCAGCATTCTTGAGTCCAAATGACATGGTCTTGTAGCAGTAGGCACCGAACGGAGTGATGAAAGATGTCTTGCTCTGGTCTTCTTCTTTTAAAGCGATTTGGTGATATCTTGAATAGCAATCAAAGGAAGGATAATAGGGCAGATCCTGTTGTTGAATCAACTATCTGATCAATGCGTGGTAGCCCAAATGGATCTTTTGGGCAGTGTTTGTTGAGATCTGTATAGTCGACGCACATGTGCCACTCGTCTGTATTCTTCTTTTGTACTAGAACTGGATTTGCTAGCCAACCTGGATGAAGGATTTCTCTGATGAATTCGGCTGCCATTAGCTTTGCGATTTCTTTTTTAATTGTTGCCTTCTTGTCGGGTGAGAACCGTCGTAGTCATTGCTTCACAGGCTTGGAGCCTTCGTTGATATCAATTCTGTGCTCAGCCAACTCTCTTGGGACACCTGGCATGTCGGCCGGCTTCCAAGCGAAGATATCTTTGTTGTCCTGAAGAAAGTTGGTGAGCGCGAGTTCCTATTTTGCCGAGAGGTGAGCACTGATGGTTGCCATTTTGGAGGGATCACCGGTTCCCAGGTCGATTTGCTTGACGTCGGCTTCTTTTGGTGGTGCGAGGATGCTAGGCTTTTTAGCTGGTATCTCTAGTTCTTCTAAGCTCAGTTCCGCGGCAATAGCAGCTATTTCTTTTCTACCATTGGTTGCTTGTGCTTTGGCTGCAATTTGAATTGCCTGAACATCACAGTCAAAAGTGCGCTTCAAATCACTTCGAAGGGAGAGGATTCCATTAGGCCTTGGCATCTTTAGCAATAGGTACGGGTAATGCGGTATTGCCATGAATTTTGCTAGTGCTGGACGTCCGAGGATTGCGTGGTATGATGATTCAAAGTCTGCAACTTCAAACTTGATGAACTCTGTACGGTAGTTTGAGGGAGTTCCAAAAGTAACCGGTAGAGTGATTTGTCCAAGTGGCATGGCTGCCTTGCCATGTACTATCCCATAAAAAGGTGTGCTTGTTGGTGTAATCATCCTGGCGAGTTGTAATCCCATCTTCCTTAGAGTTTGTGAAAAAAATGATGTTGAGTCCAGCTCCTCCATCAATTAGTACCTTTGTGACAGTCATACCGGCGATAGTTGGATCTAGAACCAGTGGGTAATGACCTACGTTTTCTACGCTAGTCCATTGGTCTTCTCTTGAAAACTGGATCGGATATTGTGACCAATTGAGATATCTTGGAGTAGCCGGTTCTGCTGTCATGATGGTTCGGAGAGCTAGCTTTTCTTGATGTTTGCTTCTGGAATCTGGAGCCCCGGCGAAGATCACTGCTACTATTCCCCTGGATTTTTGGAATCCCTGGTCTTCGTGGTTGTCTTCATCTTTTTTCTGATTGTCTTCTTTAGTGCTCCCCTTACTATCTTTTCTTGTGTATCGTTCATTGAAGGTGTAGCAATTTCCAATGGTGTGCTTTCCATTAAGGTGCAATGGGCAATGCATGTTTTCAATGTCGTCATATCTTCTGGGCTTGGAAAACTTCCTTGATTTGTCAGTTACTGCTACGGTGTTGTCTGGTCCACGTTTTCTCTCTTGGTGTCTGTGTGTTTCGATGATTTTGCTTATCCGGGTTGTCTCGGTTGCTTCTTTCCGGGAACCTTTCTCGTGTCTTCTCCGCAGTAATCATTTTTTTCTACTGTGCATCTGAATTCTTCATTGTTTCTCGGGTTCTCTTTGCAGAAGTCCTGAAATTGCCACCTAGCCATGATTCTGTGAGAGAAAGCTTCGATTACTTCTCATTCGGTAATGTCATGTACTTGGGCACGTAATTCGTCAAATCGTCGATAGTAATCTCTGAGACTTTTGCCCCTTTCTGCTTGAGTCCCTTTAATTCTGCGTGGGTGATTGGGTGCGTAATGATACCTGCAAAATTTTGACAAAAAACTCTTTGCAAGTCCTCCCAATTTCTGATTGATCCTAGGTTCAATTTGTCGAACCATTAGAGAGGCATGGTTTCCAGGGCCATGGGAAAGAACAGGGTCTTGATATCATCGTCCCCCCAGCGAGTTCAATCGATTGTGAGTAGATTCTGAGCCATTGCCTTGGTTTGGTCTTGCCATCATATTTAGAGTGGTTGGACGGCTTGAACTTATGAGATAATCGTATTGAAGCAAGTCTGCTTGCAAAACAGGGGAATCTATCATGCGTCCCAGCTTCTCTGTATTCTGATTCGGCTCCTCCTTCCAGCCAACTGTCGTTTTGGTGAGAGTAGTTCTGCGGGGCTGTCCGAATGGGTGCTTCGCTTCTGATCTGCCTTGGTTGTTCGGCTCGGTAGTTTTGACTGTGGTCCCTTCTACTTTCTCTGTCGTGACTTCCACTTGGCCCAAGTCTCTCGAATGCATACTTTCTTTGATTTTGATCTTCCTTCCTATGAGATGTTGACCTAGCGGGTAGTCTTGAACGGGTTCTTTCATCATGTGTCTTTAGGGCTGCTGTCCGGAGAAGTTCCCGGAGCTATTCCTGCTGCTCACTGGGATGCGAGGTCGTTCCGAGTTCTTCAAGTGCTTCTCGGATCCTGTTATAGGGTGTGTTCGCCGTACGTCTTTCTTTGACTTCTTGTTCTGATTTTCTTCTATTGTACTCGGCTAGATCTGACTCATATTTGATCCAAGCTTCCTTGCGCTGCTTAGCACGTCGCTGGCGTCCTTGTTTCAATTTGTTTCTTCTTTCTCTGGCTTGTCTCTGATTCTCGGTCTCACCATCGTAGCCCTAGGCAAAGGGGGATATGTTGGACTCAGACTCATCCAATGACCTGACGTCGGGTGTTTCTAGAGGGATCAATGGTGATCGAGGACGGCGAACCATGAGTACTTCCCGTGCGTGAACTGTTCTGTTATTGGCGTTGGTTTCCACACTGTCGGAGTTGCTGATGACTTCAGTAGAGGCTTCAAGGTCGCAGATTGAGTCTCCTTCTTGGTTGGGTAGAATTGCTGTTGTCGTCGTGCCGACCAGTCGGGTACTGCTATCCTCAGGAATAGAACCTGGCCAGTGGACAATGCAGTCTTGAGATGTTATAGTTAGCACGAGACCTTCCTGAGCTCCTCTTAGTGGCATTCTAAGCATCGGATCGAGGGATCCTTCGAGCTGTGCCTGGTAAGTCCTTGCCATGTTGTGGAGTCCAAACGAAAAAAGATCTGACTTCTTGAAAAGATTCTGAGTGCACTCTGAGTTGTATTCTTGATATGCCGAGGCCGCGTTCTAGAGCCCCATTGGAAAAGAACTCGGGCCATACTCCATCTCGGATGTGGAGCCTAAATTTGAGTCGGATGCGCAAAGCCGCGGAACCTGAGTTGAATCGGACATCACGAGCTGTGCGAATCTTCTGGTGATTTGATCCGTCATAGTCGCCGAAATAGGAAAGTTTTCATGGTGAACCGAATCTTCGAGAAGACGGCTTTGAAGCTTGCCATCGTCGCCTGCCTCGCAGATCCACGAACCGAAGATGAAGGTTGATCCCATTGAGAAGATCATGTTGTCGAGGTCCATCGAGCTCTCGGATGCAAATTCGTCGAAAGCCCCTACCTGGCGCGCCAGCTGTCGATGTTTTACCACCGATAGCCTGCCACGGGGGTCCCCGGGGCAGTTTTGTTTGGGCTTCAGCGTATGCGGAACTCGACGGTGAACGCAAGAGACAGTCGATTTATCCTGGTTCAGGCCCTCGACTGTGGTCGAGTAACAGCCCTACGTCCAGTCGGCGTTAGCCTTTGCATTGTATTGATTGTTCGGTGTTGTTGTGTTCTGTGTTCCTCCCGTCTCTAGGAACCCCGCCCTCCTTTATATAGTCAGGAGATCAGAGTCCTAGTCGGTTTACAATGAAAGTTCCTAGTAGGATTACAGAATAATACTACTACTAGGATTACATGGAAAAAATCCTAGTTGGACTATATCTTCTCCCTTCCTGGCGGGGTATCCTGTGGGTCCCGCATCGACAGAGACCCATACAAGGATGACCAACTCTTAGAGCTCGTCGACGACCTTTGCAACTTCATATTGGACCAGATTATACATGTCAGAGGCGCCTACCATGACCGAGAGTCTGAGTTAGGTATAAATCCTCAGTACCAACACCTTCATGAGACTGAAAGGCTAGCTCTAGGACGTTGATAACAATGTGTATGAAATTTGTATATTTAATGATGGATTGTATATATTCTTGTGAATTAGACTTGTAATTGTAGTTTATAGAATACTCTTGTGTTTGTAGTCGCGGTCGTGGAGCGTTCGGCAATGCGAACGCGGTTCGGAACGTTGGTCGCGGGGCATTCGACAACACGAACGCTGGTCGGAACGTTGGTCACGGGGCGTTCGGCAACGCGAACGCAGTTCGGAACATTGGTCACGGGGCGTTCGGCAACGCGAACGCTGGTCGGAACGTTGGTCGCGGGGCGTTCGGCAACGCGAACGCGGTTCGGAACGTTGGTCACGGGACATTCTGCAACACGATTTTGAATTGTAAATTTGATTTTTTTTTTTTGCAGAAAACGTACTGTAGGGGCGGTTCTAGATTGAACCGCCCTACAAATACCTGTTTGTAGGGGCGGCTGGTACTACAGCCGCCCCTACAAATCAATTTGTAGACGAGTCGCCCCTACAAATCGATTGGTAGGGGCGGCTAGCCAAACCGCCCCTACAAATGGTCTTCAACCGCCCCTAAAAACCCTTTTTGACGCAGTGGAAACGGATAAAGCATGGAGCCTGTGATTATATGGTAAAGCCAGCGCGTGTCGAACAGCTTTGGGGCATATGGACACATGTGGTGAAGGACAGTAAGACTGATCCACGGAACAACATTAGATCTGGGGATGGTGATAAAGTTGAGAATGTTAGAGCAAACCACACCAAGAAGTATTCAAGGAAAAACAAAAAGGCTGTGGATGCTGCTCATGAGGACAACGAGAACACATCAACCCAAAAGAAGCAAAGGGTCCAGTGGTGTGGTCAACTACACCAGAAATTTCTACAAGCTATCCAACAGATTGGCATAGACAGTAAGTTCTCACATTTCATGGCTTTATCTATCAATAATTCTTCTGTTAAATCTGTTTCACTTAACAAATATTTTGTTGCTGTAAATGCAGGGGCAGTTCCTAAGAACATATTAGAAGTCATGAATGTGGAAGGCCTTACTAGAGAGAATGTCGCCAGTCATCTGCAGGTTTGGTTCTACTCTTATGCTCAATCACTATGCTTGTGTTCCCATCCACTAGATTATTGTTAAAGATATTTGGATAGAACTTGTTTCTGCACAATTTCCATCTCAAACTCAATATTGTGTTTATGTCAATGGAATTTGTGTGTCTGACACTTCAACAATTCAACCAGAACATGTGTCTGCCCCACACAAAGCTCTAGTGGCATACACACATGTACTGAGTTTGGTATGTTATACACATTTGCACTTCTGGAGTTAGTTTTTTTTCTCTCCTGAATTTCTTTCGTTTCCCCCCATGATTAAGAGCCCACTTCACTCATTTTATGGCTTTGTCATTTTTTTTTCTTAATAAAAATCTACTTGTCTATTTTTTGATTTCAGAAGTACCGAATCTTCCTCAGAAAGCTCAATGAGGGCACACTGAGGAATTCTAATCCATTTGCTGATGAAACTGAAGCATTGCGGAGAAACATGAGTGTCCCATCCTTCATTGGCTCTCCAAGCTCAAGCAACCATTTTGCAAAGGTGAATTCCTCATCTGCAATTGGAACCCAAGCTTCGCTGCCCACAGAGTCAGTTCAGGTCATGAGCTCCCACAAAAACCTGGGCATTCCTCAGTCACACGTGGAACCAGTTGGCCACTGTGTCAACCTACCCAAAAATGCTGTGCCTATGCCAGTGCAGGATATCAGCAGATTCATCTCTTCTGGCAAGTCCTACGCACCTGTATCGAGTGGTGGGCTGTCAGGTGCAAGCCAGTGCTTCCCTTCTGGTCCTTCTGGCAGCTCCTTTCCAAATAGTTCAAATGGTGTGGTGTTGAACACAAGCAAACCTTGCAAATATCTCAAATGACAGTCCACCATTGACCTCGAACATGTCCTTGTCTTCGTCTCGTTCTTGCAGCTCCTATGCGAGGATAGTGCGTGGCATGATTTCGGGGTCAATCAGAGGTATTCCTTTCGAAGACATATCAGATGGTGAGATGTTGGCTCCTTCTGGTCATTTACCATTGCAGTCTCCTGACTTGGTGAACCAGCCTTCGGTTCAGCTTCAATCATGTTCTGCTGGCCAATTTAACAAGGTTGCCAGCGAAGTTCACCAAATTGCAGGACCTAGCAACTCCTCGAAAGTTGCTGTGCCGTCAAGGTTTTCTGATCTTGGTCATAATGTTGGAACATCTGAAGATCCTTCGCAGGGTAACATTTCCAAGATCAACCAATTGTTAAGATTTGCAGGCTCCTCTGGACACATTCCAACTTTCGGAAATGAGTACCAGAGGAAAATTGCAGGAATCATGGGGCACACCGTACCAATGGTAGGTTTCAGAGAGGAGGCATTCAGTTTTGGAAACAACACACACTCTACAGCGACGCCGATTGGCAATTCTGCTTTGGCTAGTTCTTCAAGCACCAGACCTGACCTTCAGATAGACAATTCTGTCACGACCCAGGTGCTGAATGGCTGTGGTGCAAGTGACAACCTCCTTGTAGGTAGCATTGTTAATCAGCAAGCTGTTAGTGACCAAGTGAATAACATCAATGACTTCCTCATGGGAACAAGTGAGGCACAGAATGGGGAGAGCGATGACGTAGATGATTTCCTTGCTTACTTTAATCAAGTAAGGTCCTTTCTCCACCTTTTTATGCATAAAATCTGTCTCTGTCCTGATGTTCATTGAATTCCATTTTGCATTTTTGTGCAAAAGTAAATTAACACATGAGGAATTTACCTAACTGATGTTAATTTAATTACTTCTAGTTGTTAGTACTCAGTGCATTGCTCATCATGCTTGTTCATGCATAACTTGACTATAAGACGTGTTAAATTGCTAGCTTATTTTAAATTTACTCTGTCTATGCTATCTGGCTTTGCATGTGGAATTGATGACTACTACTTATATGATGTTTATCTAACTGAACTGGTTTTCTTTCTGCAGGATTTCGTCAACAATGGTGATTCTTTCATCGATGGGGACCGGGAGTTTGCCCCTTGACGTCATCTCTGGAAAAGAGATGTTTCTGCTTTGCCCAGCTGCTAACCAACTCATGGTTCTTGCATGTTGTATGCGCAAATTTGCACTAGTTGTAGTAGGCTAGCTAGGAGCAGGCCATCTTGGATGGAATCCCCATGTTTATCTAGCGTAGTCATGCTGGTTCTCTTTTGTACCATCTGTAGCTTTTAACGTGTGGTGTTAAGTTTGGCGTGGGTTTGCCACCCCTGCCAACCCCCGACCTGTGTGTTCCTCTTCGGCTTGAATTTTGGTGGTCATTTTTTATTTGATTAAAACAACCTAGCCCTCTTGGGGGGTCTTTTTTTAAGTTGTGATCATAGACAAAGTTATGTCAGATAGATCCTGTTTCTATGTATGTTTTAGGCTTTTAGCTATCCAGTGGTTATTTTCATGAACCATTTGAACTGTTGTAATTCATCTGTTTTTTAATTAATGAAATGCTGCTATTTCTTGAAATTAGATTGATAGCCCAGATCTTTTTGTATGGAACACTAGACAGAATAAGTGCGATAATAGTGCCATTGTTCATTACTATATTCAGAGCCAAATAAAAGTAGTGCAGGACATGAAGGAACCTTCAATTCATGACTCATGTACCTCTGTTGATAGTCTTGTGTATAAGAATGGAATTGTCATTTTTTGTTTTAATTTTTTATACAAAACGCGAACAATGTTTGATCTCCTTGACTTCAACACCAATGGCGCTTCCTCATGGAGTTTCTATCATATCCAGATGGTAGTGATCTATTCATCCCTGTGATCTCAACTTCTTGTCTCCTTTTACTATCATATAAGTGTAAAGTTGTAGAATGTTAATTGTTTTGTTTGCATATGGATTTATTTTACAAAGAGCACGGTCGGTTCATAAATTTGTCTAGCTGTGTCAGCCCGCCTTAAATTTGTCCGACTGCATCATTCCATTCCCTATACTCCCAAAATGTAATTGCACCTCTAATGTACACTTCTTTTCTGTGTGTAAGGTTTTCAGTGCAGCAGTAGTAGGGCCGCAGACAAGCAGCTTGTAGTTTGCCATGCAGGAGCAGCTTTCATATTGTCCAGTGTATGTTCGGTTAATCCCCGATCTGAGAGGATTAAGGGGATTTTATCATCTACAAGTCAAAATCCCCCTCAATCCGTTTGGATTGGTGATTAACCGACAAGCACTGAGGTAGCTTCAGTTTTGCCTTGTGTGGTCTGAAGTCTTAGATGACACCAACAGCTTTAGCAGTTTAATTTTCTTGTTTACATACCAGTGAGTCAACAGTGAATGGGAAGGAGTATTAGTGCAGATTTGATTAGCTCCTAGTAAAAGGAAAGGAGTACTGCGGCACTTCCTACTAGTGTGATTGGTACCAGTAGCTGATTGTTATTTCCTCTAGATTTAGATGGAAACTCAATATTAGAGTGAAAACGAGTAAACCTGTTCATCTTCATGCATCAGCGGTTATGATTACGGCAACTGAAGATGGTCAGGCTTCTCTCAGTTTTCAAACATTGTTCGGCAACAACTTGTTTCATAGATTGTTTTCATTTACTTATAAAATAACAATACTTATGCAGTGAAATAGCTCTGCTCTTGTCTGAAATAACCATGCTGTGCAAAGAAATAATTAAGAGCTGATTATGCCACACATTTTAGTTGCAAACAGTTAAAGCCGGCAGTTGAGCTGCCGATTAAAACATGTAGCACTTCAGTAGCCTGAAAGGCTGAAACCCTGAATGCTGATATTAACCTCTGCTCAGAATCCATGAGTCATACACCGCTTTCACATTGCGTGGCAGATTTCTTCCTAGTGTTGGTTTATTGTCTTCCTCATTTGGCGGTCTTGCTTGGTTTTTGCAGAGTGAGATGCTGCAGGAGTCCAATGTCTCCAAGTTCAAGTCACAACTGCAGATCTCACAGGTATGGTTCGAAACTAAAATGTTAGATCATGAGAAGTAGCTGTCACTGGATTTTCATTGAACTTAATTTGGGACCTTGTACATGATCCACATAAATTGTTGCTGTCTTAAAATTGGACTTGATTGCATAGCTCTTACTCTGTGTTTTATAGGCCTGTTGGGGGTGAAGGCACTTAGCATTGCTTCCTCTCTGGTTTGTTTTAGATTGTTCATTTGAGCAGTACTAGGATGATTGGATGAAGGTTTAGACAACCTGATTGGCTGATTTAGAACTCTGCTCATTCACATGATCGGTTATTGGTTTGTGGTATAGATGTGTGCAACTGGGGATTGTGGGTTGAGATCACCATTTGTCCGTGCCTTTTTGGGTATCAGATTTTGTGTCACACCACTTATTTTAGCCACAGCAATTGCAGTCATGGTCTGCTGTTTATTTTAATAATATTTTGGGAAATAGTATTGAGAAATGTTAGTGTTGGGTTAAGTTAATCCCTACTCCCCGTCCAATTGATGTATAGGAGGATCCTTTTGTTCTGCTCATCTGCAATCATATGGAACTACTAACTGTCATTGTTTCATCTGCAATCATATGGAACTACTAACGTTAGTGTTTCAGCTACCCGTCCAATAGATTGCCTAGAACTAAACTTATAGTGATTAAAATTTAGTTCATACTCCCTCCATTCTCTTTTATAAGCACACATATATCAAGATATAAACTTTAAAATCTTTGACCCAATAATTTGGGCATCTGGCTAACAGTTTTTAATTATTGTAAGGGTGTGGCTAGCGCCCGGACATCCGGACAGACGCGCGTGTCCGGACGCCCGCGCAGCCTGCCCCCATCCGCCTTCGCCCCGCCCACAAGTGTGCTCCACCCCCATCTCTACGCTCGCCGGTCCATCCCCTAACTCCCTCCTCACTCTCAGACTCTTCGTGCGGGCGACACACATGAGCTAGGATGAGCAGCTAAAGAAGAGCACGCCTCCAACGCGCCACGACCTGCAGCACCCCCGTTCACCGACCCCCAGGCCCCCCGTCCATCGGCCCCTTGGCGCGCCGCGTGCCCTGTCTGCCGGCCTCTGGCCGAACAACATAAAACACTTGTAGCATGAATGCAACACAAAGACACATAAATGCAGCATAAGACTAAAAACAGATGAAACTTTTGAAACATGCTCTCGCAACATGTGTGTGAAGCATATAAAACATCTAAAATAAAACACTTGCAACTTGCAACATGAAACCACTTGCTGCAACATAAGACTGAAATAACTGAAACATTTGAACATATTGTTGCAACATATGCAACATCCAGATAAAAAACGATTGCAACATACATCTGGAAACAGATAAAACATTTTGAATAAACACTTAGAACATACCTCTAAAACACTTGCAACATGTGCAACATCTCTCGATCTACTTTTGCAACATCAAGATAAAATAATTGCAACATATATATGAAACGCCTGAAACACTTGAAACATACATATGCAACATAGGGGAGGGGTCAGAGCCAGCGGCGAGCCGCGGCGCGTGAACACCACCAGCACCGAGCGCTCGTGGGTGCCCTTGGCTCGGCAGGGGAAGACCGGCACATGCGCCCCGGCCACCATGGCGGGGTCAGTGGCGTGCGCGACGGCGATGGGAGACGTACGGACGGAGGGTGAGGGAGCGAGCGGCAGCACAGGTGTCTAGGACAGGCGCGCGACGCGGCTGGCGATGGGGCGTGGGGCGGCAGGGCATGACGCGGCAGCCGACGAGCGTGTGGTGGGGCCATGGGAGAAGGGCGCGGACAAATGAGCGGCCACGCTGCTTCCTCAGGCGCCGGGCAAATAAGGATGAGCGAGTGGGGATTCGTTTTTCTGTTTGTGGAGAGACGAAGAGATGGGCCCCGCTCCTGCGGAGCCGCGTCCGGATGGGAGCCACTGACGGTCTACCATGGCTTATCATTATTGTTATTATAATACAAACTTGATATGGTTAGATTTGTAATTAAATGTACTATCCAATTATCACAAGTTTATGAGTATAATAATATAGTATAAATAAATGGTCAAAGTGTTATTTTGGAGATCGCGTCATGTTTTTAGGGAAAAGGTCTCCTTAGCTTTATTTCTAGGAAATAAAGCGCAAGGAACTGTGTCATGTTAAGTTGCATTTTATAAAAGAAGAATGGAAGGAGTAGATCAAAACATGCCCTGAAACAAGCCTTCGTACTTCCATTTCACCATCCAGAGACTGTAGAACCAGTGCCAGCGCAAAGAGAGTCAGGTAATGAGCCGCCATGGCACGGAGCAGGGGCGAAGCTACGTTGAACAATCGGGGTTGGCCGCCACACCTCTAAGACCGAGCGATTTTTGGCCAGCTTAGACCCCGGTAAAAATTATGTGTGACCCCGATGGACTGGAATCCATGGCGGCATCAATGTAACCCATCCAGTGCCAAACTGCTAATCCACCGATTGAGATTCGTAGGCCACAGAAAGCATTCCTCTAGTTTGCAAGGAGCAAGGATAATCCCAGTAGCGCACCCAATGGCCCAGGCTAATTCACGGAAGATGATTGCATGAATCCGTGAATGCTAGCAATAATGTACACGCTCTCACGCAGCAGCTCAGAAGATCAAACGTTGCCTCCGGCCTCTGCACAGCCTCACCGCTTAATCTTCCAGTCTTGGTTGTTCTCGCATCGCAATCGTAAATCCTCCTGGCGGCATCCAGGGGCCGCTCCTTCATTCGCGACGACTTGCCAGTGGCCGCCGGCGAGAAGCTCTCTGCTCATCTGCTGTCCAGGACTCAGGTACCCCAAATACCCAATTTTATAATTGATAATTATCAATAAAGTGTAAATTGTGAGGTCTTGGAGTTTTTGTAGAGTTGTATTTCAGTAGTGACTTTTAACAGTATATGCATGGGCATGGCTGCTTGCACATTAGTAATTATATCTACTTTAGTCTTTTTTTTATTATGTGACTAATTTGATAGGAAACCAAAGTACATTGGAAGGATTATTATGTAAAAGAAAATTACCAACAGCCTGTGATACTGATGAGAATAATGATGGAGACACATCAAG